CTGAGTCATATCTGGTCATTCAAAGTACATTTAAACTACCAGATACAAGCAAAGCCTTATCATGCTTTTTCTAAATCTAATTGTCTAGAATGATTGTGATAAAAAAATAACCTTGTTACATAAATGTAATTTTTCAATGTAAGCACGTGTTTCCTAAATAATGATGTCATTCAGTGAAGGACCTGCTTTGTGTTGGGACTCGGGGACTGTGGACGATTGTTTTGTGTCAGTCATTCAGGATATTTGTGTGAGTCTTTTCAGGTTCGCTTCACTTCCTCCTTTTTGCTTTCTATGAAAAACTGGCAATCTGAAAACGAATCAATACTTTCCCCTGATTTCACCTCTGCTTGTCATGAGCCAACCCACAGAGGAGTCAGTGCAAAGGATGATTATTCCCAAGCTACAATCATCACAAACCAGACGACCCTCGTGTTGGCCTTATTTCAGATTCTTGTTTTGTCCATGTGGTCTCATTTTAAACTTTGGATAACATATTATATTTCCACGTTCATGTAGAGCATTCTTAACATGTGCAGATGACAACGTTTTGAAGTAAACATATATGATACTCCAACGTCAACATTTATTTGTATGCTAGGTGAAAGATTCACGTTACTGTATTAGCCTCCTTGGACATGTGTTTGTATTTCCATCTGAACACACAGACAGAGGAAGGCTGCAAACATTTCAGTGTATTATTATTATTATTTCAGCACCTCACTGAGTTTTTTTTGACTGTCGCATGTTCAATCGTCAACATAGGCCGACCTGGGAGTGAGGATGTGTTGGTTCAATCAATATAATACATTTTATTTATAGGTATACCGTTTTTGGGCTAAAATCTGTGTAAGTATTTTTTTTTTATAATAACTTGTGGTTTATGCTGATTGCTGGCTTTAAGAGTAGTTCCAAATGTCAAAGGTCCAACATTGAAAATAAAGAAGAGATTTCTGGGCATGCAACATGTCAAACAACATCAGTATGAGTTTGATGATCATGTGCACCAAGGTACACCTGGTGTATCATGTTTCCAGGTGATGCATTTGTCATCCTCACCAGGTATTTTCAGTGACAAAGAAGTGTAACTACACTCAATCACAACAGTCATGTGGAGTTCATAGTACAAATAAAACATTTGTAACAAAATCATGAAGTTGTTATTGTTTTTATTTTCTGATACTGAAATAGTACTTGAATCATACTCACCCTATAAAAATAGTTTCCTGTCACTTTGTTCTCAAAATGTCACGTTCACTGTCCAGGGTAAAGGTCCCAAATCCACTCTTTTAGTTCCTTTGTCATCTCTTCTTCATTCCTTTATCCCTGTTGTCAAGTCCATCATTGTCTTCTGCTGCCTCCTTTGCTGAATATAGTCCTGTCTGTGTCTCGTTCTCCTATACGTATTCACTTCAGGCTGAAAATGCTGTGTCAATCTCTGCAGAGGGTTTAGAAAGGAGGGAGGGAGGGATGGATGAGGAGAGGAGAGAAATGAATAAAAGAATGAGAAAAACTGGAGGAGTGGGTCTGCCTCTTTGTCTGTAATGTGTAGGAGTTGAGTACTGCCTGATGTACTGAAAGCTCGTTTGAGTCATGTGTTCTATTCTAACTCTCTTCGAGAAACAACAGAGATGATACTGAAACAGATGGAAGACAAAAACAGTCTGGGGGCTTGGAGATAAAGGGCTTGCATCTCCATCATGCATGGTTTGAAACTGAATCACCAGGACTGTTGCAATAATATAGGACTATACTGTAAACTGGCCTGTAAACACAAATCCCTGTTGCATTCACTCCAATACAGTCTAAACCCCATTCTCCCACAGCTCTGTTATTACATGTCAAATGCCACATCAACGCAGAGGATACACAGAGAAGAAGACAACACGGTTTCAATATCAGTGGGAGTGTCTTTGTCACTGTCTCATTGTCACTGAATTGCAATTTAACATGAAGTGTTCTGCTGTTGCTTCCTCTCACATATTGGATCTCTCCATTATAAATGCAAATAGGGAAGGTCATTCTTTAATTTCCCAATGGGAGAGTGCAGTGTTATGGTAATCTAAAGTGAGTCAGTAAGAACTGAACAGTAAAGAAGTAAGAACAAACTTTATCTTTGGTGTTATTCAATAGAGAATAATAAAGTATCACAGTATAGTATATCAATAAAATATGTTTCTTCTTCTCATCTCCCTACTTAATATTAATGTATTCTTCTAGTCTGATGAATTAGATTTCACATGATATGAACACTTCTGGTTGAGGAGATGCTGAAATGAATACACTGTGTACTCTAAGTAGGTTGGTGTGCCTCCTCACTTCTCTACATCACAAGAGATATACAGTATCTGTGCCGAGAGCATTTTCTCTGTAATCTCTCTACTTCACTGCATCAAACATAATATAAGTAGGATGCAGAGGAGCAGGATGTGTGAGGGAAGTTTGCTGCTTTTTTTGGAATAAGAGGGAGGACGAAGTGGGATTTTATAAGAGAGGAGACCAGGGGCGGTTCTAGGGGGGGCAGGGGGGGGCAGTGCCCCCCTAACACTGACTTTGGACCCCCCTGTGGCCCCCCTGAAAATGAAAAAAATAAAAATAGTTTATGATTAAACGATTTCCTGGCTGACGGAATAGGCGGAACTACCGATATTTGTCATTCTAGTCGGACCCATTAGAGCAGGGGTCTCCAACACGTCGATCGCGAGCACGTAGATCGCGAGCAAGCCCTTAATAGCTCCCTTTCATATGAGTGTTGAGAGTTGTATCCATAAATTCATTTTGTGCTCGAAGTGCACCAGATTGATGCATTTCACTTCAACATTTAAAAAGGGACCCCCCAAGAGGAGGTGAGGTCCACCCCCAAATAAAGCAGGTTAAAATAATTAAATTGCATACATGTTATTTTAGTAAACACTGAAAACGGGTCCCACAGACCCAAACAGCACACACAGGTTAAAGGTAAGCATATAATAATGTGTAATGAAACAAATACACGTATGGAAGGCGTGTGGCGCAGTGTATAGACCCTTGGTGTTGGGATAAGGGGGTCACAGGTTCAAACCCCACTGCAAGTCAGCATGTCGTTTTGTCCCTGAGACACTTCACCACAAATTGCTCCTGTGGGGATTGTCCACAGTATTGAGAATGTAAGTCGCTTTGGATAAAAGCGTCTAACAAGTGACATGTAATGTAATGTAATAATACCAATAACTATATTGCATTGTTTTCTTATGCGCAATTACTTCATACTGTCTTTGTCTTTTTCATCCTGCATTTATTGCGCCCCCCTCAGAAAAATAACTTGCCCCAGCCTGGCCCCCCAAGTCAAATTGGTCTAGAACCGCCACTGGAGGAGACACAGAGGGATCAGAAATGGAGGGTGAGTTGTTTTAGTTGTTGTTTTGTTTGTTTTCTTATTACAGACACATGCATTTCCTAACATTCGGTCTATATGCTGTAAAATGTATTATCTCTTCGATTTACACAAGGAATCTATTGCACGTCTGTCCGTCCTGGGAGAGGGATCCCTCCTCTGTTGCTCTCCCTGAGGTTTCTCCCATTTTTTCCCCTTAAACTGTGGGTTTTCTCTGGAAGTTTTTCCTTGTACGATGTGAGGGTCTAAGGATAGAGGGTGTCGTTTTTCTCATACTGATATTCTGAACAATCTGTGCTGTTGTATTTGCTGTAAAGTGTCTCTACTGTTGGTTATTTGTATTATATGTACAGCACTTTGGCTCGACCAAAAATCGTTTATAAATGTGCTATATAAATAAAACTTGATTTGATTTGATTTGATTTAGGATGTGAGTGTGATTCAGAATTTGTGGGGAGGCAGGTGGAGAGTCCATGCCAGAAGATAGTGAAGACTGAGAGAATATTTTAAAACTCTCAAAACTATGCGTACAATCCTACAAACCCTCAGAAAAACAAACGGTTTTGAGATAAGATCATTTTTATCTTCAAAACATAAGGTTTTGTTGTTATCTGACTGTGGCATTTACCTTAAGAGGTCGTATTGTTGTATTGTTATATTATATTGTGTAACATTTTCCTAAAATAACTCGTATATGTTTACTGTTATTAATCCTTTAATCTCGTCTAAATGAGATTCACACAAACATCAGCCAGCCGGAGAAAACCAAAATCATCCTCCCTTGCGTGGGATGAGTCATTTCATAATTATACTGTCTGTCACAGATAATTATTCATCATCTACTGTGAAACACGATTGCTATTAAATGCAGTATTTGTATTTAAGTCTGACTCATTACAATAGGATCAGATTTTTGCATCTTAATACATTTAATTAACCGTATTAAAATCTCAACCTGAAAACAGGTACACATTGGTGTATGATTCATCTGCCAAAGCTGATAAAGGAGCTAGAGAAAGCAATGTATTTGTAAAGCACAGTTCACACACAAAGCATGTGACATAATGTATTCAAATTATTAAACAGGAAATAAATACATATATGAATCAATACTTTAAGACTAATTACATGCATAAAACATGAGGGCTTGAACATGCAAAACAATTGAGATATTTCCATTTCAGTCTATCATTTCCCAATAAATCAACACTAAAATCAACATGGAAAATAGAAACAATTCCCAATTTTGTTTACAGAAGAAATCCCACTCCAAATCTATTATAATGAACAGTTATGTTCCATAGGTCTGTTCTTATTCCTGATTGTTTGCAGCCTATCGCCATCTACTGAGAATTGACCAAAGTAGCATAGAAAGTCAAGCTACACCGGAAGCTGCGGGATTTTGCCTTCAAATTAAAACAGTAATCATTTTTAAAAGTAAGGTATTGGCTGGTAATAATCATCCAAGATCAATGTGATAAATCAATGGGCCAATTTAATGTATTATTATGGTCGTTTATAGCAATAGTGGGGAATTTCTCAACATTTAAAACAGCGTCTTGACGAGTGCGACTTTTGCTTTGAAAATCAGAACCGGAACTAGAGTACAGTTGTTAGTTACTAGCTAGCTTGACGCAGGCTCCCCGCTGTCCGAGCTGTCAGCCACGTCACCTCCTCTGGAACAACTTTTCCCCCAGAGCTCTGCAGACTCATTTTATGAGTGGATTCAGCAGACATTGTTATCTGTTTATCTTTCATGCTTTTAGATAAAGAGCCAACAAGCTACCGAGCAGATCCTGACTTCACTGTGCAGCTGTTAGCTTAGCTTTTTTCCTTGTTATCCACTGGACTCGCGGTTCTGATTTCTGTGGCTTCACATCTCTGCAGGAAATTTTTAGGCCTTCAAAGAGTTGCATTAAAGTTGTTTTTTTTTATCGAAACGGATAGCAAACATGAATATCTTTCGTTTGGCCGGTGACGTGTCACATCTGTCGGCTATAATTATCCTGCTGCTGAAGATATGGAGGTCCAAATCCTGTGCTGGTATGCTAACATTCACATCACTGCATTTTAAACTACTAATGTGATTAAACAGCTTCAATTTAACAACATGCATGCAATTATATACTATAGATACAACTGTGATAAATTCATGTGTAGATATCCTTTAAGTTTAGTATGGTGGGGGTTTGTATTTTGCTGAGAATTTCTGCAGGAGTGGGAGCGACGTGGCAACTTCTTCCACCTTTTAAACAGCATCCTGTATCCTGAACACATCATAACTGCAGTGCAGCTGTCTCTTTTCCATGTTAAATAATAAAAAACGAAGTTAGTCATAACCCTGTCTTCTCATATATGTGATCTTCCCTGGATTAGAAAGTGATCATCTGCTTCTGACAGGGATTAAACTTGTTTTTTCTCTTTTTATGAAGGAATCTCGGGGAAGTCCCAGGTGCTGTTTGCCCTCGTCTTCACCACCAGGTACCTGGACCTGTTCACTGTCTTCATCTCTCCTTACAACACCGTTATGAAGGTAAGTTACATCCCAGCAAGTTTCACACGCACTCTGTCCCTCAATCTGACCTCGATGAAAACACACAGTTTTTTAGCAAAAGGTCATGTAAGGTCACAAAGTTAAAGTGATTCCTTTAGTCCTCTGTGAGACAAGCCATGCCTAAATGGAACTAGTTTGAAGCCACACACACACACACACACACACACACACACACACACACACACACACACACACACACACACACACACACACACACACACACACACACACTTATTCAGCTGAATCCATGGTTCATACTTTATCTAGTTACTATGCAAAATAAGCAGCAGTCAGTCTATCTTACTTACTGTTTCATGGCCAATATATAATCCATGTAATTTTGTATTGCTTCTGTTATTTCTTAACTTTATGTTAACAATGACAGGAGACGCCATCAAAGAGCCCTGCAGCAGCATCCATACATTAAAGCAACACTTTAATGTCCTCTCTGCTCTCAGGTGGTGTTCCTCGCTCTGTCCTATGCCACTGTGTACCTGATCTACATGCGCCTGAGGAGCACGTACGGCTCTGACAACGACACGTTCCGCATTGAGTTCCTGCTCGTGCCGGTCATTGGACTTTCCTTCCTGGAAAACTACGCTTTCACCCCAATGGAGGTAAATAACAAGCACCCAGATTGTGTCACATCATAGATCATTTAATGGCTTATAAACATGCAGCGCAACAGATTTATGGTCAGTTTTTCATTATGTTTTATTAGCACATTTCAAAAAGAAGGATCAGACGAAGAAAAGTAAACAGAAATAAAGAGAGAGGTGGAAACTAACTAGGTACATTTACTACAGTACAGTACAGTACCGTACTTAAGTATTATTTTGACTTTATGGGAGTATCTCCCAGTAGTTTATGCTACTTTATACTTTACTCCAATATATTTTAGAGGCAAATATCATACTTTTGACCCCCCAAATGTATTCATGGTTATGAAATCCTTATATGACATGATGCTGACTGTACTGTACTGCTAATCATATATAATCTGCATTACAACCACAGAATGTGTACATTTTGATCCTAATACTTTTAAGTAAAGTTTTAAACTCAGGAGTTTTACTAGTTATGGAATTTTTAAAGACCATCGTTTTTTTTTACTTCCGCTTAACTTTGAATACTTCTTCGACATCTGATTAAACTTCAACTAACAGAAAGAACAACATATAAACAGTGCAAAATTAAAACAAAAATGTACTTGCACATCTTTTACAAACCTAATCTGGTATATAATAATAATGTGATGTACATAGAGGCAGACTGAACAATACACCGCTTTTAATTAGTACTTTTAACACCTCAGTTAGCAGTTAAACTCATGAATGTCTCTCCCACTGACTCCCTCCAGATCCTGTGGACCTTCTCCATCTTCCTGGAGTCGGTGGCCATAATGCCGCAGCTCTTCATGATCACCAAGACGGGCGAGGCGGAGTCCATCACCACCCACTACCTGTTCTTCCTGGGCCTCTACCGGGCCCTCTACATCGCCAACTGGGTGTGGCGCTACCACACGGAGGGCTTCTTCGACCAGATCGCCGTGGTGTCCGGCGTTGTGCAGACCATCTTCTACTGCGACTTCTTCTACCTTTACGTCACTAGGGGTGAGTTAACACCAGTGCACAGTGACTTTTAGGCAGAGATGGCAAAAGTACTCGCATTCTTTACTCAAGTAGAAGTACAGATACTCGTGTTTAAAAATACTCTGGTGAAAGTAGAAGTACAGACTGAACTTCTTTACTCAAGTAAAAGTAAAGAGGGCTTTGAAATGTACTTCAGTAAAAAGTACCCATAACTAGCAGCTGTTTTAAAGAGTACCTGACCTCCCTTTATATTAATAGAACAATAATGTCATTGTTAGCTAATGAATGTTTCCATGCTGAACAATGGCAACATGACAACGTTTCCATTGGTCCCTCTTCTTTAGAGAAGACCAGGAAATGATGGATACACGGATCGTGTTCAAATCAATAGGCACGCAATGACTCTAAATAATAATGATCACGCCACCAAACACACATTCAGACTAAAGGAACCAGCCTGTTTGGAAAATGTAGGAAGTAGAAAGTACAGGTATTTGAGTTCAACATGTAAGAAGTAAAAGTACAGGTACAGATGTAGCGCTTCATTTCAGACAGTTTGAAACGCGAGGGCCGTGATTGGTACGTGATCTGCCCTCGCTCAAGGGAAAACCTCCGGCTTGACTTGAGACCTCCCCCGTGATAAATAAATGTAATTATTAGAGAGGGGTCTGCCTGCAGACAGTTCCGGTGCAGACCTCCACTCTCAGGACACCTCCACTGTCAGTACAGGAATTGACGATTCTGACGTATGCTAGCTAATAGTGATGCTAATGACTATATATATATATATACGCGACGGAGGTGGGGAGGTTCCAGCTGGGAACCTCCGCTGCGGGACCCGTGGGACCCCTGGACGGTGCGTCTTGGTCACGCTTCATATCGGCCGGCCCGGGAAGGAAGAGACACGCAGAGTGGGGGAAGTCCCCCACCCCAACGCAGCACACCCTCCCGGCCATCCTTTCACACACACATACGGGTATTGGGCCGAGGGCGACACCGTACTTCCGGTATCCGCCGTTTTACGCGAGGTGCAAGCAGGCCAAGGGTTTAGCCGTACACCGTCTAGGTGTTGCTAAGCTTCCTGTACTGAATATCATAGTCTATTGCCTTAATCAATATCTAGCAGTGTGCGAAAAAGCACACGTCCCACCCAGGGTTTCCGCTAGGATTTTTTCTCGCCAGTCAACTGTCCGGACATAATTTATTTTACCGGACAAATTTGAAACTTACCGGTCATGTTTCAATAATAGTAATAAGAATTGTGTAGCAGAGTTTCCGTTAGCAGGTAATTACCGGACTAGGACCGGATATGCTGATGTTTAAAACTCAGTTAATGGGAGTCATTTTTATATTGCTTCAGTTTATAATCGTTACAGATCGAAAAGTTCAGATTCATTTTTCAATAAATTATTCCACAAACAACAAACAACATAATTATTACATTCAAAGAAACTACTTGTAGTAAATGAAGTACATTATTCAAAAGTTTACATTAACTTTGAATGATAACACGGGAGAAACTCCTCTCTCTCTCTCTCTCTCTCTCACAGCCAGTCATGCAGCTCGCTAAACAGTGGGCGGGGCTTCAGGTGATCATGGAGCAGCTGATCCGATCTCTCTCTTGTGTACACTTCACTCGCGTTTATGTCCATATCGATCAGATCCAGCTCTCCTGATCGGCCTTTATAGAGAGCACAGATCAAATTATTAAGAGTGAATATCGGCCGATAATGACCGGCGGCCAATCGATCGGAACATCGGACATTTTGACCGGCAGGTTTTGAATGTACCGGTTTTTATTCAATTTTACCAGCTAAAAACCGGTAATTACCGGCTAACGGAAACCCTGGTCCCACCGTCCGGGAGGTGTTATTTACGATATCGGACAAGTAGATCTTTCAATTGACTTGTCCGGCGGACAAGTGACGTTTTTCGCCCTCATTTATTGACAAATTATTGATCAATTCTGTTTACAAAAGGCAGAAGTCATTCGCAAATTGTCCGTGTCCGCCATTGTTCGTTTAGAAATGTTAGTTTCGGTTCTGCTTGTCGATTCCTAAGGAAATGCATCTCGCCGCTTTCTGTACTGTTAGACGGGGGCGGGGTGGGACCATGGATGTATAATAAGAACGACGTCGTGTAGCACAGTGGCAGGGTTGGGAAGCAAAACTCGGTTCCGAGTAAGAACAAATAACAATTGTCCAGTACCGGGATTAATAAGAGTTGTGAGGACAGGAGGCGAGGCCGAGCCCCGCGGACTGCAGCTCTCTCTCTCTATGCTCCGGATTCAAGTGTTTGACTGAGGATTGATTTACAGACAGCCGGATTGTATCCTGTAAAGACCGTTGTCAGCTGCGTTGTTAGTTTATAATCCGGCTTTTCCAGTTGACGAGTACGTGTATCCTTCTTGGTAACAAACAGTATGAATCTGATAAGAGGCCTGGTATTAGTGTTTCTAAATACACTTCTAATGCCTGCTTTGTTCTGCCTCTTTGTCCTCAGTGCTTCGAGGAAGAGGAAAGATGAGCCTGCCGATGCCAATTTAAAAAAAGAAAACAAACCAAAAGACGTCTGTGCCGCTCAGCCGACTCTCTGTGCCTGCTGCAGCTCAGCATCCCACACACACCTTGCCCTTCGACTGTACATGTATTTAGCAAAAGGACTATTGTGTGTGTGTGTGTGTGTGTGTGTGTGTGTGTGTGTGTGTGTGTGTGTGTGTGTGTGTGTGTGTGTGTGTGTGTGTGTGTGTGTGTGTGTGTGTGTGTGTGTGTGTGTGTGTGTGTGTGTGTGTGTGTGTGTGTGTGTGTGTGTGTGTGTGTGTGTGTGTGTGTGTGTGTTGTGTGTGTGTGTGTGTGTGTGTGTGTGTGTGTGTGTGTGTGTGTGTGTGTGTGTGTGGTTTTTTCTTCTTGAGATGCTGAAAAATGTGTCACTGATTTGAACATGGATCTTAAAGTGAGTAACGCTATGGAAACTGTATATTTGTCTTTCCCTACTGTATAAAGCTCAGAGAGACACTTTGTTATAATGTTTTAAACCAGAAAATTGTAAAAAAAAAAGTGTCATGGATTTTCATACAACCACATTTTTACTGTTTCTTAATTCATCTTATTTATACATCCCAATATTGAAATCACGAATTTGCCGTTAGGGGCTTTCCAATCTGTACATCTCCCACAAAGTGTCTTCCTTAGAGCGTACTGTGTTATATGCAAACCTCTTAAAGGTCGTCTTTTATATTTCAATGTATTTTAATGTGATTCCTCATGGGAGGAAAAAGGGCTAAATGTTTCATTTTGTCTTAAATGAAGCCAAAGATGGGACAGATAAATGCTGCAATTGTTTAATCCAGAAAATGTTTGTGTTTGTTTAACGGGACTTAGAAAGTACTTTGTGTCAGGGATGAAAATGGGGGGAAAATGGCAGCAGAGCGTGTTGAATATCTGTAAAAGATGTACCTGTTTTTGATAAACGTTTTAGTCACAGATATGACATTATCTTTATTATGTGAATGATCTCAAGTCAAAGGCGTGGCTCGGTTATTTTGTTACACATGAATTACAACACACCAGGATGTTTGCCTTAAACACACACACACACACACACATTCTTATTTAACAGTGTTCTGAAAGTGCCAGTGCATTGTGAAAATGTTAAACAGAGCTGACTAAGTGAAAGTATGACTAAGGGACTTTTTCATTCAAGCATCACCTCTCTGTTGGCCATTAGAGCTGCAACGATTGGACAACTTATCGATTAGTTAATTGACAGAAAAGATCACAAGTAATATCACAGAACATCCTGTTAAATATGAACTTTTCTGTTTTGGCCATATTATAGTAAATGCGTTTTTTAGGACTGACATTTAAAAGCATTACCTTGGATTTATATATAAATAAATTAGGGCTGTCAAACGATTAAAAATTGTAATCAGATTAATCACAGTTTAAAAATTAATTAATCATGATTAATCACCATTCGAACTATGTCCAAAATATGCCATTTATTTATGTATATTGTTGTGGGAATGGAAAGATAAATGAAAGAAGGCGGATATATCCATTTAACATACAGTATCTATGTTTATTATAAAAAAATTCTGCGTGTCAAAATGAAAGACAACCCACACACCTATCAATCATCAAACAGTGGGGTCTTAATTCATTACGTGTTGATTTCTATCAACAGGGGGGGGGGGGGTCGGGGGGCGCGGCGGCTAGTGGAGTACTTCGTGACCACAGTGTGAACGTTGTGATCAGCTGTTTTAGCGCAGTTCTCCAGTGAAGGGGGGGAGTCTCACTCCGCAGCCGGTTGGCGTAGTTTTGGCACAATTCCGTTGTACAGACCGACGTTAACAGCAGTCCCTGTCTGTGCACACGGAGACCGACTCTGTCGTCCGGTGATCTAACCGCCTTCTGGAAAAGCTTCACAAGTACGTCGGTACGCAAATGCGCTTTGTGACACAAGTGACGGTACGCATTTCAGATTACGCACATAACCTACGTACCAGTTAGCCTATGTGCACCACTGTACTACAGCAAAAGTATTCTCCGTCGGGACTTCCTGCAACAACACCACGCCGTTATCAAAGATGTTCTATTGAGAAGACGATCACTACGTGACAAAAGTTTTCAAAACCGTGGCTCCTGAAATCAATCTTACTAACTGCTGTCTGTGCAATTTACTCCGCGCGAGTTGGCAGACTATATTTTGCTTACTTTAACATCATTTTTCATGGTGGGGCTAAGCCATTTCTTGGTATGGGTGTAGCCTACCCCAGCCATACCCTGGCGCTGCCACTGTTGGCACGTATGGGGCGGGCCATTCTGCACGTGCGTTAAATGCGTTAAATATTTTAACGCAATTAATTCAAAAAATTAATTACCGCCGTTAACGCGATAATTTTGACAGCACTAAAATAAATATATATTTATATTTTTCACAATGTTCTAACAGTTTAAAGACCAAACAATCAATCTAAGAAATATCGGGCAGGTTGACATCAGCATTTATACCTTATAATGAAATAGCATAAATGTTTTTATAAAAACAAGACGTTGTGCAATAAAGGATAACATTGAAATAAATAAGTACAGATATTTGTATAACAAAGAGTTAAAGGTCCCATGTCATGGCCATTTCTACTGATCATAATTCCGTTGTTGAGGTTTACTAAAATAAATATTTATAGTGTACAATTTTCCAAAATCTCATTGGTTTCTCATACAGCATCTCTGTATAGTATGTGTATTCACTCTGTCCTAAACGGCTTGCGTGTGTGTGTGTGTGTGTGTGTGTGTGTGTGTGTGTGTGTGTGTGTGTGTGTGTGTGTGTGTGTGTGTGTGTGTGTGTGTGTGTGTGTGTGTGTGTGTGTGTGTGTGTGTGTGAGAGGAAGTCCGCGGATTGGTCCAAACGTAACGGCTCCGCGGACGTAACGTCACTATACCCGAAATACGTCACTATACCCAAGAAGAAAACAATGGAAAAAGAGAAATCCCCAATGAGGCGTTCTGGGGCAGCACAGACAGGTATTTTCTGTGTTAGAGTTTTACTCGCTGCAGGGTGTACTTTGAGGGTTTGTGACTCTGCAGACCGTTTACATGCAGAAAAACCTTCATAACACACAAGGAGACGGGTAATAACAGGAAAAGCATGACATGGGACCTTTAAAGTAAAAATGTGCAACAAAGGATACAAAAGAATAAAACATAAGTAAAATAGGACACATTGTACACTTTTAGTAAAATCTTCAAAAATTGTATAATTACATCGATAATTATAAATAAAATGAGTTGCATCCTTATATTATCCACCTGAGTGACTTTTCAGTGTGGAGTTTTCATGAAGGTTTTCCTGTGCTTATACAGCACCTTGCTCCCTTCCCTCACAGCTCCACCCACGGCTTTAGCAGCAGAAGTGATGGAAAGAGGCGACGCTGCCAAAGCCGCCGCCCTCCCCATCACCTTCACCTTCCTCACCTCCTTCCCTTTCCCCTCGTCCTTCCCCAGGATCCCCGCCCCCTCCGCTGCCCCCTTCCCCACCGCTGTCACCAGCTCGCACCAGAAAAGCCTCTCCACCCTTTTCCTCTCCTCCTCTTCCCTCTTCTTCTCCACCTCCGACCTCTGCTCCTCTTCCTCTTGATCAACATTGTGTCTTCTCTCTCCAAGAATCCTATCCTGTGCGTCCTTCACGGCCCTCTGAGCCTCCTTAAACGCATCATTGCTATAGCAACTGCCTCCATTTTTCGCCACAACCTCATCTATCTTGTTTAAAAGCTGAATTACTTGTTGTGAGCCTGTTGGGGTTTCATGTGTTTCACTATTCTCAAAAACATGATACCCCCCACAGCTGTTAACAAACTCCCACAGCTCAGGACTCTTCCCCAGGAAGTCCTCCAACCGTTGCCCTCGTAGCTGCCCCCCCCAGGTGAACAGAACCACCGTAAACATGGCGGCTCCAGGCCCAAACGTGGCCTTCACCCACTCCAATGCATCCTTCTCCTCCGGGGTGAACCTGCCGAGCTGTAAGATAAGAGAAGATATACTTATTGATCCCAATTAGGGGCTTTTTTCCATCACAGCAAAATGTAAGACATTGCACATGGATTAGAAGTCAATATAAAATACACATAGCAATAATGAAGGATATATATCTATATATAGGGGTGTCAAACTCAAGGCCCAATACTTCATTTGATGTGGCCCGCAAGAGCTTGCAAAGAATATAATACGTTCATTATACAGTTACATGCCGCTTTACAGAAGCACGTTGCTCATAAACTACATGTCCCACAATGCATCTCATTTTGTGACATGCACAATGCAGAGACATGCAATTATGTAATATAATACATTATTTTATATATTTATATAGTCTTAAAGTTACAACCGACCCTTTGAGTGCAACCATAATGCTAATGTGGCCTGCGATACATTTTGAGTTTGACACATAGAGTATTGTTGGGAAATAGTGAATGTCCTCTTCCAATAAGAGTAACATGATAACAAAGGTAACCCAACTGTAGCTGTGAACATGATAGGATGTTTGATTACCTAGAAGAGCATCAGGACTGTTTTAGGCATATGATAGCTATGTGATTAACATGATGATTCAGCCTCTATGGAGATAGACATATGACAAGCATGCTCATTTCTGACGTGGAGCTAATCTGAACTAAACATTGAATACTGCTTTCTATTCCTCCATCTTGTGACTGTAACTCCCTCTCTTGGATATCAGCATGTGAAGGACACTATTCAGGAACTAGTTGATGCTCTGTATGTGATGACTACTTCCATTCTGGAGAGGATCAGAAATACATGGATCCTGAGATTGAAGCTCAAGCCGGGGACCAGTGATATTTTTCTAACAAATATATATATTGAACTTTACATTTAGGGTCACCAGGAAGGCATGAGGCCCCGGAGAAGACATCACCACGGATCGTCCCACCTCCCTCATGACATCTTCAGGGGACAGGTGTGTGTGCAGGAAGCCCGGAGTGTCCACCACAGAGACCCTCCTCCCGAGCACCGCCCCTGTGTGTGTGGCGCAGTGTGTTGTGACGGAGGAGGGGGACACGTTGACGCAGAAGGCGGTCCGGCCCAGGATGGTGTTTCCTGAGGAGCTCCGGCCTGTTCCGGTCCGTCCCAGCAGAACCAGCCTCAGGGGGTCAGGAGGGGATGAAGGGGGGGGTTCTTCACTCACTGTGGCAAAAAGAAAAACAGGCTTAAGAGGATATCTTCAAATAAAGGGGCCCTTTTAAGCTTTTGGGGTTTTTCCATTCCTGTAGTGTGTTATTACGGGTTTTTGTGCATGTAAATGGTCTGTAAAGGCTCAAATCCCTGTTCCCTCCAATCGGAGTTTCTCCCCCCCGCCTGAAACGCCTCCATTAGACCCCTTTGTTTACTTCTGGAACATAGTGACATCCCCCTGTAACACTCGTGTTTCTATCGGCTAGCGCTTAAACACATTGTAGGTGATAGGCTAAGGGGCGGGATATCTCTAAGCGGTTGATCAATCACAACAGAGCCGTCCAGCTAACCAATCAGAGCAGACTGGGCTCTGGTTTCAGACAGAGGGTGAAAAGAGGTGCTGCAGCACAGGCAATATGAGAACAATAAAGAGCTTTTTGAACATTAAAGCATGGAGACATGTCACAGAGACACTACATACTGACATACACCTAAACATCAGCAGGAGAGGACTCTTTAAAGTAGAGACACTACATACTGATATGAACCTGAACATCAGCAGGAGAGGACTCTTTAAAGTAGAGACACTACATACTGATATACACCTGAACATCAGCAGGAGAGTACTCTTTAAAGTAGAGACACTATACTGATATACACCTGAACATCAGCAGGAGAGGACTCTTTAAAGTAGAGACACTACACACTGATATACACCTGAACATCAGCAGGAGAGGACTCTTTAAAGTAGAGACACTACATACTGATATACACCTGAACATCATCAGGAGAGGACTCTTTAAAGTAGAGACACTACATACTGATATACACCT